AAAAATGAAGAAAAGTGGACTTCGTTCTGCGAATGAAACCATCAGTAAAACTAAGGAAACGCTCGATAAATACTTTAGGAATCCTGCACTATCAATTTCGAAGGTGGCTGAAATTGATAGTGAAATAACGTCAAATGTCACCCAAAAGAGGTCATCACTCCAGAAATCATCGATTAAATCACATTTCACACTAACAACACACGTCTGCAACAAAAAAGCTATCTGGATGTTTTCAACTAATTTGGGTATTCAAAATATTCCAGAACGTCAGGATATTCTGCAAAACGCAAAAGTGTGTTATAAAAAATGGGTTTTTGAGCTTAATTGAAGTCATAAATAAATGCTTCAAAAGAAGCTTTGAAGCAGTTCTGCTTCATAATGGAAGTATATATGCCTCCATTCCTGTCGGACATTTCGTATACCTCAAGGAAACATACAAGAACCTGGAATTGATACTTTGAAAACCAAAATATGTAGACCACGGTTGGCAATTGTGTGGTGATTCGAAAAAAGTGGGCAAGTTGCTCGAACAACAATCTGGGTTTACCAATTTCTTTTTTTTGTGTCTGTGAGACCGAGCAAATCACTGGACCAGAAAGTGTTGGCCTCTGAGGGAGCTTAACGTTGGCGAAAATAACGTCCTGGTGAAATTTTTGGGCATACCCATTAAGGTCTTCTACCACCGCTTCACATAAAGCTAGAATTGAAGAAGCAATTTGTAATGTGAGATGGAAATTGTTTCGAATACTCAATATCAGAGTTTGTTTGAAGGGGATTGACAATGATTCATGATGAATTTCATTAGTACGGACTTCTGTTGTCTGATTTTATATAAAATGTAGTGTATTAAATTGTAGTGAAATAAAGTACAAGTAAAAATAGAACATTTAAACAAAAAATAAAAAATAAAATATCAAGAGATTCCAATCCAAGTTAGTTCACAACATTTCGATTGTTAGTATCCACAATCGTCTTGGGTGATGATTGGACTAGTTCCACCGAGAGATGACGATTTAGGAGTCATTCGAATACATCCACTTATCTCCTCTTTCCTCTTAAACGATTTAGTGAGAAATTACCGTTTTGTGGGAGTTGGCCATTTTTCGCTTGATTATGAGTTTCCATATGTTGCGTATCCTTACGCTAGCTTGACTGAATACATTGTTGCACAACATGTATGCGGCTCCTTTGAATTTTCTCCTAAACCAGTGTTCCTCCTTGTATACGATCTCAGCTAGAGACCACTCGATGTTATGGTGAAGGGTCCAAACATGCTTTGCTATTCCTGATTTACTGGTTTTTTCGCACTGTGTGTGTTTGTTGTGCACGGCAATGAGAACATCAAATGGCCTCTTATTTTCACCGATATAGGATTTTCCGCTTTTTCCGATAGGGTATCCGGTGAATGCAACTCTTGGAATCGCAATCCCCGTTTGGTGGCCTAGTTTTCGTGAGGCTGCTACGGATAGTGCTTCCGGATCTGAAGCAGGTTCTGATTTTGTACTTGGAACCAATTCTTCTTATCCTCTTCGATAATGCTCTGATGTAGGGAAGTGCAAGCACTGGTTGTGACGACTCTTCCTTGCGAGGCTCTTGCCGTTTTTTAGCCAAAGTCTGTTCCACCATCGCTTTGGTGTAGCCATTTCGTTGAAATCATTTTCGATGTTGTCTAGTTCCTTCTCGAGACCTTCCTTCGTATTACAGAGCCCGAAAACACGGTAAAACACCATCAGTAAATTGATGGTGGTTAGATTCGTGATTCAGATACTGTTCTGTATGAGTGGGTTTTTGGTATACAAATGTTTTTCATTCAGTATCGGTCCTCTTCATCAATACGTCTAAGAATGACAATTCGTTGTTGACTTTCTTCTCCATTGTGAAAGTGATGAAAAGTCTTATGCTGTTGATGTGTTCCAGGAAGGCGTCTAGTTCAGTATTCCCATGATTCCATATTATAAAGGTGTCGACAACGTATCTCAACTGGACTCGGGGTTTTTTGTGAGCTTCTTCAATGGCCAGAGTTTCAAACCACTCCATATATATGTTGGCTTTAACTGGTGAAAATAGCGATCACATTAGCATTCCCCCATCTTGTGTAAAGAATTCGTCCTTCAGTTGGAAATAACAGTTTCATATACAGCATCCTATTTACTCTATAATTACTTCTATGGGTAATTTCGTTCTATTTTCCAAGTCCACGTCCTCGGGTAGCTTCCTTTGTATGATTTGGAGTGCTTCTTCGACCGGAACGTTGTGTGAAGGCTTTCCACGTCGAAACTGATCAGTTGATGTTACTGTGTGACTTCAATTGCTCCTAGTAGTTCAACAAAATACCTTGAATACTTCACAAAATATGGTGTTTTTTTGTGATGGTTGTATTATTGGAGGTAAAAATCTAGACAAGTTTTCAGTAGCCGAATCTCTGGAGCTGATGATCGATCTGAGCAGAACACCCTATGGAAAAAACCAGGAAAGATGGAGCGTCTCAATGATGGCAGACTACTGTTGGCAGAGAGACCTTTCAGATGCTTTCTATAAACGAAATTTTACAAGAAAGAGTCTCACTGGAAAAATATTTTTTTTAGTGCTTACTACTGAATGTACCTATTTTAGATGAAAGATAAGTTTTGTCACACAATTATAAATAAAACATTCGATGTTTTCTGTTCAGTTTCACTATGTATTAAGTTGTTTGGAAAGTTTTGTCAGTTCAAATATCACACGATTTGAACGATCGACAGAAATTGTCACGTTCCGATGTCTGTTCTTCTTTGCTTTTGCGCAACCAAAAGGATCCTTTTTTGGATCGGATAGTCACGTGTGATGAAAACTACATCTTCTATCACAATAGAAGGCATTCAAGATAGTGGTTGGACACCGATCAGCTACCCAGGCGCTTCCCAAAGGCGAAAACTCACCACAAAAAGACCATGGTTACTATATGGTCGTCAGCGGCTGGTGTGATTCACTATTAATTTCTGCAACCGGGCCAAATCATCACTGCATCAATTGCGTCAGCAGCATTACTTTCTGCAACCGGGCCAAATCATCACTGCATCAATTGCGTCAACAGCAGCCGGCAATGGTCAACAGAGGAGATCCGATCCTGTTCCAAGACAACGCCCGTCAGTACGTTCCATAAAATCACCGTGCGAAAATGAAAAGAATTGTGTGTCGAAGTTCTGCCCCAACCATCATACTCACCAGAGATCTCACCAACCGACTACTATTTTTTCAAACACTCCGATAACTTTCTCACCAGTGGAACCTTCGATAAACAGGACCAGGAAAAACGGCCTTCGTTTTCGTTATCCAGGTAAGGTTCACGTCGTGAAGGGTAGCTTGTAATATCCTTCAAAGCACGTTGGACGATGTTCACAGTTGGTGCCTGAGGTAGCAGATATCTGTCAATCCCAGCAAAACTGTGATAATTCCCTTCACCAGGAGGAGAAAATTGGACGATCTAACGCCACTCTTCCTAAATTTGGAACGGAGGTGAAATATTTTGGCATTTTCCTTGATAAAAAACGAGGTTCAGGGTAAAACTTGGGGTTCAGATCCCAAACAAATCCTTTGGATTTATGTGATGTGATAACTTATGGTGTAATTGCCTGGTGGCCGAAAGCTTTACAGAAAACGGCTAAGGCGAAGCTCTCTGGCTAACAGAGACAGGCTTGTCTTGCCAACAGTGATGCCATCAGTACCACACCGTCAGCGGCAGTGGAGATCCTTCTAGAATTACCTCCTCTCCACATTTTTCTGGAGAGAGAGGCTAGACGCACTGCAGATTTGTGCACATTGCCAATTGTACAAATCAATTTAATGCAGAATGCAACAGACTGTTGGTTGACACTGGAAGTCACAGCATTCTGGAAATGACCTCTGAATTTATGCATCCAACTGTCAACTACGAACTGCCTCATAAAGTACTGTTCCCGAGTAGAGAGGACTGGACCCTCCGGGAGAAGGAAATATTAAGAGCAGATGATAGTTGCTTCACAGATGGATCAAAAACACCTTCCGATTCTGGTGCAGGTGTTTTATCAACTTACCTAGGAACCTTTGCGACTATATTTCGAACATTTTTGAATTGTGTGCGGAGGGACTGGAAGAATCCAACCTCATACACAAGTCAATAAAAATATTTTCGGACAGTCAAGCGGCGTTGAAAGCTCTTGGCTCCTACCGAGCATCGTATAAATTGGTAGCAGATTGCCAAAAACGACTCTCCTCGATAGAAAAACGTCCCTGGTCTGGATTCCTAGCCATACTGGCCTAGAAGGCAATAGAGCTGCTGACTCCCTTGCAAGAGAGGGTGCTGCAAACAGCTTCATCGGAACAGAACCTGTCACTTCTGGCAGAATCTTCCAGGATTGGCTCACTCCAAGGCGTTAATTCACCCTTCGAAGCTTGATACCAAACAGTTGTTGGACACAGTAGGGATGAACTACTGTCATTTGAATCATCATATGCAGAGACTCGGACTGTCGGAAGACAGTGTGTGTCGCCTCTGTTTGGAAAATGATGAAACAGCAGAGCACATACTTTGTGTTTGCTCCGCTGGGTTTATTTGGTCGAGTGTGAATAGATGTGAGCCACAATCAACCCTTGCGGGTTGCGGTGGAGGGTCGAATAGACCCACTCACATTGGACCTAACCTAACCTAATCTATTTCATCGAATTCCTAGCACCCAATTTGTATGCTGACGGAATTAAACCACTTGTGTTACGTTGGCAACTGTATACTGATTCAAACTTTCGAAACAGGCTAATAAAAAGGGGGAATGAAATAGCTGAAATTGCTGCAAAGGAAATGAATAAGTTACAAATCTCTAAAGATGGTGTATTGCCAGCATTGTTTACATATGGCTAATATTCTTCATCAAATTCTTCTTAAATTCGTTAGATCACGATATTTCGTTATAACATCGACACTGAGAGAACTTGTTGACCTTCAAGATATTATCTTAGATGTACCGAAATAAATAAATAATAACTGAACGGTTTGAATTCATTTTCGTAGTGAAACTCCAAGAAGAAGCGTGCCAAATAATCGATTACGATGTTGTTTTTATCATTTTGTAGAATTTATTTGTTTCAAGTTTTCTTGATAGCAGCGTCGTTCATTGCATCTGGTGCAGAGGAAACTGTTTTAGCAAAAGACTTGAAGTTTGAATTGAATAGTGGAGACCGCATGCCTTTGGTTGGACGTAAGATTTTTCAGATTGCAAATTTTTAAAAATCGAGGCCGGATTAACTATATAATGATATTTTTCAGTTGGAACTTGGAAAATAAGTGGAACTGAAGTGGTGAGGAATTCTCTGGATTTAGCTCTCGCTGCTGGTTTCAGGCTTATAGGTATGTTTTGTTGAAAAATCCATAATTTTTTATGACCTTTTCATTCTTCTCAATTAGTTGATTTTTTTGCTCCTATCACTTCAATCATCAAAGAAATTTAAATATATAAAGTAAAAAATAAATTGATGGATGTAGCTACGTGGTAGGAAATCTTAATGAAGAAAAGAGAAATGAAACTTTGTATGTTTTTTACCACTTTTATCTATAAATAACGTTACTGCAGTTTCGTCCTATACGGACATTTTCAAACTTATACAATAAACTTATTGTATAAGTATAAGTTTCAAACTTATACAATAAACTTCAAATCAAATCAAAATATACTTTATTGTCCGAAGATTTGCATCTTATTGACAAAGTTCAAGAAATACAATGTTGATATAAAAAGAAATACTAAAAAAGTATAAATGTAAATATAAAAAAGTTCCAAAAATGAATAAATGTAAATATAAAAAAAAGTTCTAAAAATGTATAGATAAAATACCACCATGTATAAAGTGATGGTACAATAGTAGTAAAAATATTAGTAATATATTATTAAAAGGATTCGTTAAAATACTCTTCCATTAAAATATCCACTACATTATTTTATGAAAAACGATGGTTTTCTGTATAGCTCAGTATTAACAGGATTTTTTTTCTCTTGAATAAGCTCATACATTTGTTCATTTCAAAACCAACGATTATTTTCATTCAATCAGATACAACAGTGCAAAATTCGAACCTAGAAATGTGTTTCAAAGATAAAACCTATTTGGTTGAAATAAAGTAGTCTTATTTGATTATTTATTTCTATGAGAAAGCGGAGTCAATGTTCCTTGATGTTTTTTGAGTTCATAACCTTGCACGATTTAAAAAACAAATAAATAAAGATCAACAGAGAATTTGTTTCCAAGGGGAAATTGAAAAATTCACCCCGAAAACTTTGAAACCTCTATTCAATCAGTTACTTACATAGGCGCTTCCTATTTTTAAATATAAATGAACCGATTGGATAGAACTGGCCGATACTTGATGAAAATCTATATTAAAAAATGAATCAATACAGTTTATTGTATGATTTTCACTATAAGGGTTTTACAAAAACCGCGACACGTGTTTCGCTATACAACAGCTTCTTCAAGCATAAGCAGTTTATGTTTGAAAAACCTATTTTATAGCGAATCACGTGTCGCGGTTTTTGTAAAACCCTTATAGTGAAAATCATACAATATTGAAAATCATACTGTATCGATTAGTTTTTTTTATAAATAAAACGAATTGTGCGCGAGGTATCATCAAAAATTTCAATTCGTTTAAAAGACCAACTGATTCCATTATGTGTGGAATATAACATCGTTTAAATGTAGATTGGTATCGTTCCAAATTCAACAATTTTATTTGTTTAAGACGCAAAATTCGCCAAGTTGTGGTCTTCGAAAGGCCGAGTTTTTATGAGCGACGCGAAATCGACTGCCTCGGATTTTCCTGCAGACTCTCACAGACAGCGGAGATGTTTACGTACTGGTGTTGGCTGATCGTTTACTGAACCAGTGAACTCAAATTCATCCACCACATTGCTTATAGTCCTCTCGATAAGACGAATATGGCGACCGTAAAATGGGCGAAGCGCGCGGTACGTTGCCCGAACCGAACACCGATGTTTATCTGTTTAAAATATGTATGTCTTGTGACAGATCATTTTGAAGCTCCTGACGAATAGTTCACAACTCTAGAATATGAAGTCAATATCTTCACCTACTACAAAATGGCGGAACTTTTAATAATTCAGTTTTGTTCTGTTTGAAATATGTTTTTCTGTAAATCAGCTGTCGCCCCCATACGAACGACAACTCTCAGAAGTTGAGGAACTTGTGCGAACTAAGGACTAACGAGGTATTACCTTTTAACGTCTGATTCCTAATTTGATTCATTATTTGCATGTGTTGTTGAATGCTGTATCCGTCCATAGTGATTTGGCAAAATAATGAATAAATGATAAATGATTTGACAAATGTGTCTTCAATAAAATGGACCTTACCAATTGTTAAAGTTCGGAAGTTTCTGTCAGACATTTTTATTGTGGACTGTTATAAATTATGTGTTTACTATTATAGTTTGGATCTTTTTACCAATCGTTAAAAAAAAAAACATCCGTTTACTTTTTTCTTGTCGATCTTGTCCTCTTCTAGGAGATATTTCCTGATAATATGTATTATTATTCATTATCATCATCATCATGAAATTTATGCTCATGAGTGAAAAATAATTTTGTGTTACATTTATCTATTTATGATTACAGACAGTGCCTCTGCTTATAAAAATGAAGAAGATATTGGAAAAGCTCTGAAAGAACTGCTGCCCAAATACAACCTGACAAGGCAGGATATCTTCATTACAACAAAATTATGTGAGTTATAATTTAATCACATCATTTTTTATTTCCATTCAATCATTTTTGATACTAATTATTGATTATTGCCCAATGATTGAATAATTTGAATTGTTCCCCTTTATCGAATTCAGTTTGCAATGAGAATATTGGATAGATCCTGTATCCATTATTCTCCAGTTCATTGAATTAGTCCTAGAAAGATGCATATTTTACGTCAAGAATTTATCATGTAGATATTTGTTTGGTAGTAGTCATCAGGATTCGAATCACTATGAAAGCATGACACAGTATCTGTTCAGTCAGTATTGTGACGCCTAAAGATGCTATTATATAGGGAAACACGTGTCATGGTTTTGTAAATTATCTATAAACTGAAAATCCCACATTGAAGTGTTTTTTGAATACGTTATGCTGGTGAATTATAGTAGTTCGGACTTCCATTGTCTAACATGATTCTACTATGAGCACAAGAAAAACACATAATGAGGAAAAACCAGCTAATCGGAAATAGCAGAGCATGTTTGGACTCATCAACATAACATCCACATAGAGAAACACTGGTTTGAGAGGAATTTCAAAGAAGCTGCATATATGTTGCAGAACGAAGCATTTAGTCAAGCTAGAGATATATGTTTACAATATGTTTTTCCGTTAATCAGCTGTTAATAACATATGGAAATTTGTTATCAAGCGTATAACGGTCAACTCCCGCCAAACGGTCAAATTCCTCTGAACAGGAGAAGTGGAAAGAGGGGATGTGAGAAAGCGCTCGAATGACCTATAAATAGTCCTCTCTCAGACAATAGTCCAGTCGATTAGTTGCGATTGAGACGTTGATGAGTGAACATCGACAGTGACAATAGTGACATTTTTCAGTTTTATCGGCTATCCCCTAAAAGTGTTTTAGGTCGATAAGCGTTAAAAATGGAGGAATTATTGAATAATATTCATTACTTCCGAAGAAATAACTCAAGAGACGCAGTACTTGCACTAGTAGCTGCATGATGATGAGATGATGTTTCCAGCTTAGTGCTGGCGAAGTCATATAAATATTTCGAGAAAGTCATGGAAAGTAACAAGCAGAATCGCAAGCCAAAATATTACCAGCTTTTCGAAGCCTTGCCAAGCTACGAAAACGAAATAGATGATCCGGATTTCGACAACATTCCTTCAGAGGAAGAAGAAATCCTAGAAGAAAGTATACCCCAAAAACGAGCGGCCACGCCTGAGCCCGCTATGGAAAAAACATTAAACCCGGCACAACAGCCAAAAAAGAAAATGAGTAAAAATTCCTCATCTGAACGGAATAGTGAAAGCAAAGCCGCTGACGTCACATCCGGTACGTCACAAAACACGGGCAAGCCGGAAGGGCCTAAACAAAAGGATAAGCAGGTAGCCCCCAAACAAAAGATGACAATAAACCCGAAAGGATGGAATTAGACGAGGAAAATAAGGTCGAGGATGCCACGGGAACTCGACAAGAACAATTAAAACAAAAGACCACAAAACCTCCGCCAATAACAATACGGGCGAAGGAAAAATGGAAAGAATTCAACTCGATCGCCTCCGCGCTGAACATTTCCATCTCGCGTGCGATGAATACAAACGATGGGATCAAAGTTCATCTAAATACTATAGATGAATTTAGGAAACTAACGAAAATTTTAGACCACGAAAAAATCCCGTATCATACTTACTCGGTACAAGCCGATAAGCCGCTAAGAGTCGTTTTCCGGGGAGTTCCAGAATCCTTGGAAACTGAGGACATAAAGACCGAACTACAAGAAAAAGGTTTTGAAGTTATTTCCATTGCTCGGATGAGCAAGTCAAATAGAAAGCCGATTCCATTTGTGTTAGTCTTGGTTTCTAGAAGCCAAGCTAACATATTTCAAGTGAAAGAACTACAAAATGTCCGCGTAAGTGCAGAAACGCAACGTCCAAGAAATAGAGTACGACAGTGTTTTAGGTGTCAGAAGTTCGGACACACACAGCGGAACTGTAAAGCAGTCCCAGCCTGCGTAAAGTGTGCCGGACGACACGTAACGAATGAGTGTAAAAGACAAAAAAACTCGCCTATGCGGTGCTTCATCTGCAAAGGCGAGCATCCAGCCAGTTTCTACGGGTGCCCAGAACGCCCCGAAAACAAAAAAACGGCCACAGATGTGCCAAACGACAGACGGCAGCCCACAAACCCGAGGACAGCCAGGCAAAACATAGTTAGAGACGGAATCTCATACGCGAGAGCCGTATCCGCAACGGAGAATTCCCACAGCTCTCCCGAAGGTCTCCCAACGGCCCTAGGGCAGCTGCAGGAAATTCTAACGAAATTCCCAGTCCTAAAGGCCATGCTTGCCGGAAAAAAATTGAAAAAAGAGAAACTGGAAAGAACCTATGTCTGCACGACAGAAAAAAGAAAAGTAGAAGAACGGAGACTTCTACAAACATGGCCACAAGCTGCAAGAAGTCGACAGAGACCCGTCTCTGTCGCCGAAACCTAAACAATCTAATAGACGTTAACCCAGCTAGACTAAGGAGACAGGGATTTAGTTATTCAGAACTCGACATAAACAAGATAACCACGAAATAGTCCAGTCGGGACGAACCCTCCCCGATACTCTGTTGAATGAGGCCCTCATGTCTCCCGTTAACGGATGAACAATTTTTCATCCAACCCACCACAGCCAGTCTGAGGACTTTTATCACCTCTTAGTCATGAACCCATTTGTCCTTCTGACAAAAATTAGCTACAAGAGTGAGGGAGCTAGGCTCCAACCTGATGGAACTGAGGATGGCTGTCGGAATAGTCCAGTAATATCCTCCGGTGGTGTCGAGGGTAATGATCAAGTCTATCATACCGACGATTTGCGTTCAATTCTTCAACGAAAACTTTTGTTATCAAGGGAAGCTATTGATTATACTGTAGACGACCCCTCCCGATATAGAAGGCCCAGACTCTATTGAAGAATGAGGCCCTCATGTCTCCCGTTGATGGATGAACAATTTTCCATCCAACCCACCCCAGCCAGGTAGGGGTACACCATGAAGGGCGGTACTGATGTCTGAGGACTTTCATCACCTCTTAATCATAAACCCGTTTGCCCTTCTGGCAAAATTCAGCTACAAGGGTAAGGGAGCTAGGCTCCAACGTGATTGAAATGAGGATGGCTGTCGAAATAGTCCAGTAATATCCTCCGGTGGTGTCGAGGCTAACGATCAAGTTTATCATACCGACGACCTGCGTTCAATTCTCATACGAAAACTTTTATTACTTAGGAAAGCTATTGATTATACTGTAGACGACCCTCTCTATATAGAAGGTCCCGACGCTCTATTGAATGAGGCCCTCATGTCCCCCATTGATGGACAAACAATTTTTCATTCAAATCACCCCAGCCACGTAGGGGTACACCGTGAAGGGCGGTACTGGTATCTGAGGACTTTCATCACCTCTTAGTCATGAACCCATTTGCCCTTCTGGCGAAAATCAGCCGCAAGGGTAAGGGAGCTAGGCTCCCACCTGTTTGAGCTGAAGATGGCTGTCGAATAGTCCAGTCAACAATCGAAAAGTGTGGAGAAACTTGGATGGAAATCTTTTTTAATTTTTTGCTTATTGAATAATAGAAGTCTAAATTAATGAAATTCACCATGAAATATCATCAACCACTTTCAAACAAACGTTATAATTAATTTTCATCAAGTATCTGTCGGTTCTATCATATAATTTTTCGTTTCATAGCTCCCGTTGATCAAGGCGAGAAGGCCTATGAAGCTTTGGAAAAGTCCCTCAAAAACTTAGACTGTGGCTATATTGATCTTTATTTGATACATTGGCCTGGTGTTCGTGGAGTGAACTTGTCGGATGCTGAGGTTAGCAAACGTCGAGATCTTAGCTGGCAGCACCTGGTTAGAGGAAAGAAAAATGGCCTCACCAGAAACATTGGGGTCTCAAACTATAAAATTCGCCATTTAACTGAATTGTTGAACAATGATCATGGAGTTCGACCTGCAGTGAACCAGGTAAAGCGTTTTCATTCACGACCAGCCGGTAATTTCATGAAAATCCATATTTTGAATCAGTCTATCAAGTTTTTCAACTACTAATCTACATCAATAAAATCAACTGAATAATCAACTCATAATAAACGAACAGATCTGTCACCGGAGAAGGCATATGTGAATTATTTTCTAAGTATTTTAAGAGTGTATATATTCACGATCCGCTTGCAAATGCTCGTCTAATGCTTAATGATAATCTTGACTACTCTGTTAGCATTTCTGAACAGCAAATTTCTGAAGCAATTAATGATATAAACATACGGAAGTGTCCTGGTCCAGATGGCATACCAGGGATATTCATAAAAAAATTTCAAGAGAACTTGTTACCACCCCTTTTTCACATCTATAATTTTTCTCTACAGACAGGAAGATTTCCTAGTAAGTGGAAATCTTCTATGTCATGCCACTACTCAAAGGTGGTGATAAGCGTAACGTTAAGAATTATAGTCCTATTAGCAAACTATGCATTCCCCGAAAATTGTTTGAAAAAAATATGCATAGAATTATTTTAGATCATGCACAAAATAAAATAATAGTACAACAACATGTTTTTTCCCCTGTAGATCCAGTGATACTGATTTAATAGAGTTTACAGATTATGTGTTAGAGAGTATGGATGATCAGATGCAAATGGATGTGATCTATATGGATTTCAGCAAAGCTTTCGATAAAATAAGTTACAACTTGATTATTGAAAGACTCGCAGAGATCTTGATAGATCAGCATCTTCTGGTGTGGATATCGTCATACATTACAGGAAGGCATCAAGTTGTTGATGTTAACGGTTACCAGTCAGAATCTTTTGTGGTTACATCAGGTGTACCACAGGGGAGTCACTTAGGACCATTACTTTTTATAATTTATATTAACAATATTGTTGAAATATTTCAACATTCCAACTTCTATACCGATGACCTCAAGATTTATCTAACCATCAAAGAAATCCAGCACTGTGACAGATTGTACAATGATCTTGAACCATTATCAGCAATCTGTGGCAATAGTAGCCTATAGTTAAATCTCGATAAATGTCACAAAATAACTTTCACCTGAAATAGAAATTCCATTGATTTCCAATATCAAATAGGAAATCACACAATCAAAAAGTTAATGAAGTACAATTCGAATCATGAGAGACGAC